TCCACCTTTCCGAAAGCTACCGCTACATGATAAGCCGGGGTGCGAAATATTGCAGTTTCAAGCATTTCTGAAATTTACCGTTATATAAAAAGCGGCCGTAATTTTAGTCCGATTTCAATAATTTTCAACGTTTTGCATTTAAGTGGCAAGCACAATAACCACACCGAGTTTGGTACAAATTGGTAGAACGGTTACCGATATACATATATGTGATCACAAGTGGGCGGTGCTACGCCCATTTTCCAAAATTTTGTCATAAACGTATTTCTTGGTAAAGAATTGTTGCAATCATCAATTTTGAATAAATTTGCTTCAATATTTACTGATTTATAGAAGATTTTGTATTTCTCGAAATTACCGTTATATGGGATGTGGGCGTGGTTATTGTCCGATTTTAGAAATTTTCGGCAAGTTGGTATGCTGTACCAGGACCAACAACTGTGCCAAGTTTGGAAGAAATTGGTGTAGCGGTTACCAAGATATACACATGTAACCATAAGTGGGCGTGGCTACGCCCATTTTCCAAAAATTTTTAATATTCATGTTTTCCGTCTGAAACTCATTGTAAGTATCAATTTTGAGTGGATTATCTTCAGTAGTTACTAAAATATCGCAGTTTTCGTATTTCTTAAAATTACCGTTATATGGGAGGTAGGCGTGGTTATTATCCGATTTCGCCCATTTTCAATACCATCCGTCCCACGCCCAAAGGAAGTTCACGTACCAAGTTTCGTTAAGATATCTCAATTTTTACTCGAGTTATCGTGTGCACAGACGGACGGACGGACGGACGGACGGACGGACGGACGGACGGACGGACAGACAGTCACCGCTTAATCGATTTCTCTGTTCATTCTGATCATTTATGTATACATTTGTCTATATCTATCTCGATTCGTTTTGCCTGTTACAAACAACCGTTATGTGAACAAAGTTATAATACCCTTGTGCACAAGTGCGCTCGGGTATAAAAAGCACGCAAACAACAGTGGTTGCCAAAATAGAAGAAAAAATGCTTGCGAAAAGGCTCATCGAATGCATTGTGTTCCGCTGACAGTCTGTTGCCGCTTGCTGAGTGGGCGCGAGCACAATAGGCTAACCGTCGCAGACGTTAGACTGCCTCTACATATAATAAACGCGTTCGTCTCACTTTCGCGGCATTTGACATTTTTATTGTACCATTAAGCGGCATTGTTGCGTTGCCAAAAATATGTGGCCCAAGTACAAAATTGTTGTGCGTTCAGCGCGTGTTGTTGTTATCCTTTTCGCTTTGAAGAGTTATCACCTTTCGAAGGCTTGCGTGATCTACTTGTCTACATGAATTGTGTGCGTGCAAGCTTTAAGTAAAGATTTTTTTTTGTCGTTTTATTTTTCTAGAAGTACTAAATTTTTTTATGAGTTTCCCTTGCAGTTATTGTAAAAGAAAGAAAGTCGTTCTATTTTAAGGGCGCTGGAAGTTTATACCTCATAAAATTATGTGCGAATAGGGTAATCGTAATGTAATAGTAATTGCTCGAAAGTAGTGGCACAGCAATGGTGCTATGGGAGCAGCTGCTGCTGTTATAAAGTTGTTGCCACACTAAGCTACATGAATTTATGAAGTCACGTGGAAACTCTTTTTAAGGCGCTTGGTAGTCACTGGTTTTTTATGCACTGACTGACTCCGATGAGCTTACTTGAAGTTGATGGGGTGAAAGATGGAGTAGCAAGTTGTTGAAAAAAGTAGATACATATCATTACCTGAAATGCGAAACGACGTAACAACATCGTAACTGAAATGGAGAAAGTCGTGACTAAAAATTTTTATTTTTTTCATTAAATGATATGGGAGTTGTAATTCGATGAATTTCAGCGACGATGTTTGTTACGCGTCTTTTTGCATTTCAGCTGACGATATGTAGGATTTTAGTATACTTACGTGTACATACATTAGGTTGTATCACCCAAACACATTTGCGGTTTTTTCGCCGGAATTATAAAATCCATTAACCGCCACAATATTTCGGAAAAATATTAAGATTTACGTGAGCTGAACCGATTTGAAAATACCTTTAAAATCTCATTATTTTGATTCCATTACAATTCCATTACATTTTATTCATATTAGGTGATTTTTGTAATTTTTCTACCTAGTTTTTTTTTATAAAAACTCGACTTTTTTTTAATTTTCAATTAACATTTCAAATATTTTGGCGGAAGTCTTAAAATATTAAACATTCTATAAATCCTATGGAAATCCCGTACCTTTTTTTTGTATGGCGAGGGATGCATCCTAATTTACATCTACGTATTAACTAAGTTAATTGCCTATGGGCCTATGAGTAATCCGTGTGCTGCTAGTCAAGCGAGAATATCTATATATTAACATAAATTTTGTCCGCTTCGTTTGGCGATTGTACTGAATCGATTATAAAACCAAGAACAACATTAGAAATCTTTTTTTTGTATATCAGCTTTTACGGTTTCAAAATTGGTTGAAAATTACAGCCAAAATCTTCGTTTAAAACTTTCCGTATTTGTCTATAGCTATTGCCGCAAACTGCAATTTGAGTTGTTTACGCAATTTGTTTTACGTCGTATTTGAAATTGAAAAATGAATTATGAAACGATTAAGACTAAAAAGTGAACGCAAAGTTGGAGATAAAATCGAAAATGAAAACAATAAAAAAACATAAGAATTAGAGTAACTGAAAGGGTAAGAAAATTTTCTAAAACCTTTTGATAGAAGTCGAAATAAATTCTGTCATAAAAAGTTTAGTTATCGAAAATTATCAACCTACCGAAATTTATCGAACCATCAAAGTTTATAGTTATCGAAGTTTATAGTTATCAAAATTATCGAGTTATTCATGTTTATCGAGTTATCGCAATGTATCGATTTATTCAAATTTATCAATGTTTATTGATTTGTCGAAATTGATAACCACAAAACTTAGCTGTCGAAATTTGGTGATAGTTATTGGGCTATAAAAGTTTATGGGACTTTCGAAATTTGCCAAGTTAATGAAACTTGCCAATTTATCGATATTTCATGAATCATTATTATTTATAAAGTTAACAAAATTTATCGAGTCGTCGATATTTAGTGATTTACTGACATTTTTTTAATTTATTGAGTCGAAGTGATTGAAATTTTCAAAATACATCCAGTTTATTGAGTTATCACTGCCTATCGTATTTTATCATGTTACCAGAGTGTAACGAGTGAAAATATGGAGCTATCAAAATTAACCGAGTTATCGAAATTTATAGAGGTACCCAAAATATATGGAGCTACCGATTTATATCGAGATATATAAATTCCAAACCGGCTTTGAGGTGGCGCCATGTCTTTTTAAGGCAAGGAGGTCGCTCCACTTACTGCATACTTTCTTAGGTGTACTTCAGGCGCATGAACCCCAAGTTAAAGATAGGATAGGTTGTATAACACAGATCCCCTGGTCTGACACCAGAATCGTTTTTGAAAGATAATGGTGCTATTCATTAAAAATACCTTAGAAGTGAAATATACTTTTGGGTGCACTACCTTCTTTCGCGCAACCTAAGAATGTTTGAGATGGTGTCTTCAGGCATGCCTCTGATTAGGATGATGAGTCATTTGCAAAGCCTTAAACATCGAAGTAGTTCGTCTACTATAGTGGACCAAAATGAAAGGAGGTGAAGATTACTTCGTTTCTATTTTAGAGTGGAAATTATTGTTGCAATAGCATGTGACAACTTCAATATCTGTGCGCCACAAGCAATAATCTATAAGAGAGTATTCTGTGTTACCAAGAGCACGCCATACTTCTGAGAAGCCACCTTCTTGCTCTCTAGAGTCATGAGGTGTTTAAGCACATCATTTCAATTTCTCAATAAACAATTTCCTTGTTATCTAATGTTAATTGTCATGGGAAATGCTTAGTTATTGCGCCTTTTTTTTAAACCACCGAAAACTCTCACACATGGACGAAACGTTCCCGAACGAACTCTCAAAGTTTTAGTAAGCGGCAAGTGCTTTGTAAACGTTGAACTAATACTAATTTCCTTAAGTGAAACCAATTTGATCCTTAAACTGCTTTAAATAATTTTTTTTCTTTCCTCACAACTCAATCGCGTCTTTTGTATCAATGAAAAAACTCATTTCCGAACAGCACAAGACCCTTCAATGTCTTAAATAGCTTGTCTTTTTTTTCGACACGACTCTTCATTCAATCTAACTCATTCTCTTTGCGCTTTCGACATCACCAGACCAACGAAGCGAGCTTATTCATTTCATTTATGTCCTGGTTTTGAAGATAAACTACAGCGATTCCAATAAATTTTCTTACATTATTTATGATGCGCACAAATTTTTCGCTGCAGCACAGCGGGCAAGTCAACTTTTTATTGATACAAAATGAGATCATAAATAAAGAAGCAATTTGATAGAATAGCCAAGCGTGAGGAGCGGGCTGGGATGACAACTGAGGTGAAAAAGCGACCACAGGGCGAGCATAATGTGACGGTGGCGGTGGCGGTGGCGGTGGTGATGTTGGTGGGGTAGCAGCAGAAAATAGTGGTAAAAAGTGGCGCGCCACAAAATGTTGCCAATGAACCATGGAGTACACGAGAAGAGAAAGTGGATCTCATAAAAGTAATAAAAGCAATAACAGTAAGAACAGTAAGAACAACAATGAGATAAAGCATCACAGCTTCAACTACAGCACCAACAGAGCGTTAAATTTAATGGCAATGTATTAATTTATTAATTTCCTCAAAATATTACCTTCTTGGTATTTATGTGTATGTGTGTGTGCATATCTATACCAATACATATACATATATTATGTGTGTCAGCAAAAACCGAAAGCAAGCACTAAGTAATTATATTCGTAGTAATGATACTATTATATGCATTTAATTTGAATTTCAGCTTCCGCTTCTTAACTATTGTACTCGTACAAAAATAAATGACCTATTTCCTTTTATATTACTCATTATTTCTCTCTACCACTCCTCCATCTCTTTCACTTTTACAGGGGTTAACATGGGCTACATCGAGAACAATTACTCCAATTCGAACAATGGCGGCAGCGTCAATTCACAAGACTCGCTGTGGCAAGTGAAAATGCCCGCCGCCACAGGCGCTCAACAGAGTATGGTCGTGCCGGCCACACACAACAACTACGTCGAACATCAGCCCACCTACGGCTATGACCCACTGACGCATGGCGGCTATGGCGCTGTCGACGACTACGCACCCTATCCACACTTGACGGCGACGCCAAGTCAACATGGCGATGAATATCATAATTTACGCAATAGCCAGAATCCATCCATACAGGATTACTGCAGCGATCCATATGCCTCGGTGCAGAAGCCGAAGAAACGTGTTGATCAGCATTTAGGTAAGTGAAATGAAAAGCTGATAGAGAGTAACCGACATCCATACATATAAAGTAGTTAGCGTAAGTAGCATAAATTACGTGACATAAGTAGATATCTATGCTGGGGTGACTAGGCAGTAAAGCTAAGAGGCAGCAAGGCGTACTTATATGGTAGTCCTCTTGATATATTTTCAGCTTATCAGAGCTTTGTGATAAACATAAGTTAGTTATTTATGCGCTTGTAGTATGAAATGCGAGCTGAGTATGTGTGTGTGGGTAACGAATGTGCGTGTGTGCCAATTGGGAGTTCCAGATAGTCAATTCATCGCCTGGCCTGGTTGGTTAGGCAGTTAATTTAATGTTGGAGGTGACACTTCGAAAGTATACTTTGCCACGAAGCAGGCTACGTCTTCTTCTCCAGCTGTTCGCTTTACTTGCAATTCTTTTTGCTGTGCAGTCATTAGTGCTGATTATTAAGCATCTGCCTTACCACTCGATTATGAATTATAGTCGATGTGTACTGTAACAAGAAGTAATTATAATGAGAAAATAAATAGAAACGGAGTGGCCGGCGTTAAACAAGGATTAATGCGTCAAAGAATTGGAAAGTTGTTGCAACAAAATTATTTCTGTTTAACCACAATTGATAAACGGGACAACAGCTATAGAAATATTTCACTTTGTGCTTTAATATTAAATTTAAGCTGTGTTGGTAGTTCTCGCGTTAACGTAGTATAGCTCGTACGTAGCCACTTCACTCCGGAGGCATGCGAACGATAAGGACTACAAACTAAATCCAATGAAATCAATGATCAAAGAAATTATACATATATAGCCATGGCGATGACCAACTGCATCGGCAAAGTCGCGAGATATAACGCATATGCACAGAGGGAAAAAAAATATTAAAATCAATCAGAAACGTAATTGATCTTACTATAAACGTCAACGAAAGTACTGTATATATCAACAAATTGCTACAGCCATATTTTTTTTTAAATTTTTTGTATGAAAATATAAGGACGGGAAAAGTTGTTAAAATAATAATGTGGCGATATGGATACTCAACATTGTCCCGCTGAACCTGTCCTTCCTTCAACATGATAACTAAGACTTATAAAGATTCCAGTAGATTTTTCAATCGTTAATAGCGCCCAACGCTCGATTAATCGAACACGTAATTTTAAACATACGAGCTGCTCGTTATATTGACGGTACAAAAAAAAATTAAAACGATTAACATTTTATTTTATTTGCAAGATCACCTCACACACAGTTTTTTTAGTTTTAATTTTTAAATTTTTTTTTGATGTTTAGAAAATTATGTTTAAAAAGGAGTGTCTGCTTTTGCGATCTTCTCTGTAAAAAAGGTGTAAGATGAAACGAAGTATATATATAATAAAACCGAGTTCTATTGCATTAAGTTGTGCAAAAACTTGGCCCATGGAAAAACAGTCCAGAATAATTAACAAACAATTGTAAAATTCACTGTTCGATTTATCGAACATTGGGCGATAAGTGTTAAGATCATGATCTGGGGTCTTCATCGAAGTTAATGGGTATAAACTTCGCTTTTCTCTAAATTCCCCTGCGTATAGTCTTCGTAAGTTGATTGCTGACATATTCGTTCCGGATAACTATTCTGGAGCAATTAAAAGCCCCTAATACGCACCCAGTGATAGCGCTGAGAAAAGTTCCTAGCAGCACTTTTTGAAAAAGTCAAAAATCATCAGATATTTTTTTCTATTCGTCGATATATTTCAGTTATATTCTCTCTCAATTATCTTCCTTTTTCACGAAACAAAATACTTAGCAGCTGACAGGCCTGAAATTATATGCCCCTCACCTATGATCCCCAACCTAGCACCTCGAACTTATATTCACCTATTGAATTTTTAATCTTTAGGATTACACGCCAATGCGTCAAACAAAAGCTTACTCTCTTATTAATCCACGTTAAGCATCGTTTACGTTTGATTGACCCAGTTGTTTTAATTATTTAAATTTAAAATGTTGCGCATATAATTAAAGCTTATTCTCCGCATAATTTAATTGTATTCCCGAGTTGATGTTGTAGTCTTAATAGTGTGCTCATGCACATGTCACAATACAACGCGTTCCCATGTTAAATGTCATTTGATAAATAAATAAAAAAAAATCAAATAACACTAACGCTCATGCAAGTACACACACACATGCAAGCAGGCAATCATCATGGCACATTTTTAATAAAGCAAGGCAATAAGTCAGCATTTAATTAACAATTTTTCGTAATAAACTCGCAATCCTTCATTCAAGGCAGCGATAATAAAATTAAAAAAAGAATTATAAATATTCAAAATAACATCGCATGTATGTATGTATGTTTTATTTAAAACAAGTGGCAACAACGAAAGCAAAAATTAAAAAAAAAATTTATTAAAAAACAACAACAAATAAAAGTCATGGGGAAACACTTCGAAATCCTGCGCAGCATAATTTTACGCTCTTCGGTTTGCGTCTGTATTTTATTTATTTTTTTTTGTGACTGATTAAATACAATTTTAACATGATAAATTCAAAAGTGATTTTAATCATAGCGCATTTTAAATATATACGCCCAGGCTTGGCAGAATTAACATACAAAAAAATTAAATAAATACATAAATACTACGCTTTTTCTCTTGCATTTTATTTGTTTTCCTTAGGTGCACTTGCACTTGATTTATGCCAGCGCTTCAAGCTCGCAGATTTATGTCGATTATAGTTGATTATAAAAATGTTCGTATATGTTTAAACAGATGTATGTAGATATGTCTAGTTATATTATACATTAGGCAGTTTCGAAAAAAAATTGCTTGTTTTTGTTTTCTAGCATTAGGGTGCCAGTAACTCAAAGTTTTCAAAAAATCATTAAACTTTTGGCAAGGGAGTTTTTTGAATATTCTAGAACTATTTAAAAAATAAAAATGTCGACCCCTGGGTTCGGTAAAAACGAGGAATATATTTTTTCGAAGTTGCATTACAAAAGTACTTTAGACCCCTAAAATGGTTTCAGTGAACTATTTAATAAAAAATTAAACTGCATTTAAATGAGATTCAGTAAAGGAGTACTCGTTTTAGAAAACTGTAAAAATATATGTATATATATGTACGTATGTATCCACTATATTAAATAAAATACCAAAATAAAAAAATAATATAGTGCCCGTTTATTTGATAATTTTTTTGTAAAAATAAAGTTTATAAAAAAGTTCAAATAAATGCAAGTTTCAAGCATTCCGAATAAGAAGCGTGAAACTTAGTTGTTTCCTTAAATTTTTTTTTACAAGGTCTGAAACTTGGATATACGTGGCTTTTGTTATAAAATAAACTGTATTTATATAAAAAAATAATAAAAATTTCTTTGGAAAAAATAAAAAATAAATAGTCAAAACAAGGTGATTTTAATATCTGTGGGCACAAGCAATAATCGCCTGAGTCGAAAAACCTGAATTCAAGAAAAAAAACTTTAAAGATTTGGATTCTAATGTTAACCTTATGGGTTTCATCCATAACCTTCTAAACAGCCTAGGTAACGAGATGAAAGTTTCACATACACATGGAATAGTAGTTGCTGAAAACGATAGCATATATAACTCAATTCTTTCTTAAGTCGACTTAGGCGGTTATTGCTTATGACCACAGAATTATGTGGGCACTGTATCAGCTTAAACCCCGCGAATATAAAATATCCATTGCACACCATACAATGATGAGCGAGTAAATTCTGCGTAAATAGCGATCATACAACACTTACAGGCCCCGTACCTTTTAACAAAACGTCATCAGTTTCGCGAAGCGTATAGATAAGTTTTTTTCAAGTTGGTGTGCGTCTATCATTCTCTCAAGAGTCTTCCCCTAGGCGCATGGTGAACACTTGGTCTAAGTTGTATTCACCAAGCCTAAGGCCCCAATAAATTAGTTGGCCCAATAAATTCGTAGATCGTGCGCTTTAGCCTTTCAGCTTTGCAGTGGTTGATGCATATGTTGGGCACATCGGTTCCGTTGCCACCGACTGAGAATATGGAGTCCACGGACGCGGACGAGTTATCCCTCCATAATTTAAGCATGCTCTGAGCATTCGATGTAAATTCGCCTTGTTTGCTCTTACAGGAATCAACACAGGTATTGAAGACTACAGTAAGGCGTCTAGCTTTACAGCAACATTTTAAGACGTTGTTATTCTGTCGGCCAGCGTTTGCCGCGCTTTTTCAATCACGCTTTTCAGTTTTTTTCCAGTTTTTCTCATTTTATTATGGATCGCTTCCTGCTGGGCTCCCCTTTCCGAGCCCACAATAAATTTCGATAGAAAATTAGTTAGCACCTTTCTACATTAAGGTAACTATATGTTTGTGTTTTTCAGTTTTGAAATTGGTTTTTGTTCATTCATCTTATGCTTCATTATTTATAGTACTATGATATTGCCACAATTAAGGGATGTGGCCAACCTTTTCAAGCTGAGAAGTAACAGATCGCCTAACGATACGTAAAGAATACTGTTTTTTCACTCGCGCTTTTAGGTTAGTATTTCTAAAAAAATCGGATAGGTTAGAGTAATTCGGATTCAGCGTCGAAAATTCTACGTGAAATCAAAAATCACTAGTTCACAAATGTTTAAAAATATCAAAAAAAAAAATAATATGAAAACATGCTATATATATCTATAATCTCTGGAGAAAAGACATCCCCATATTGCACACCCCCGCGACATCCGCTGGATCGCTTTCCGCCGCAACAGACCGCTTTCTGTATGGCCGCGCCTTAAGATGCCAACTTAATTACTAAAAGTTAAAATGCTGGAAATGCTGCCTATATGTGACGCAGATGTCATCTAAAGGGCAATAATAATAATAATTAATAGCTACAAAGAGTTTGCCCCTTTAATGTTTTATCCGTCTGTGCGCTTAAGTCCTTTTCAATAAGTAATATAAAGAAAGCGGTTTGTCAGGTCCTTTTATATTAAAATTATCTTCTCTTTTGGTGTTTGTATTTCCTTGTGTGCTAATCGGGACATTTCAAGGTT